GCACTACGCACGTTTAGTTTTATAAAAGCAATGTCTATTAATGGTAAAATTTACGAGGAATTCCTTGAATATATATCGCATTAAAGTAACCCACATCAAAGTAAACTGCCGTGAATATCTTACTGGTAAATGATTTGCTGCGTTAAGTCGATACTTTTACCTGTAGGGTGTACCCAACTTTTGATTGACTGACTTCCTATTCAGGTCAGCTGAGATTCTTTATTGTGTTTTGATATTTGAATCTCCTTATCCATTCTTATGTTTTATATATTCTCTTTTATTCTTTGTATAACTTTTAAACATTTATTCCGTTTTTGTATTTAAATGATTAAATAAATTATTTTGGATTTGTAAATACATTCACATACAATTGATGTATACATCTCCGAACGGCTTCTTGCCGTATCTTATCTGGATTTAAGTTTGCGAAACTGTGATAGAAAAAATAAATTTCTGTACCATTAATTGTGAAATATATACACAAACTGCATCCTAAGATATTCTTTTATTTTAATTTATCAACCTTCTTCACAAAACTATAAATTTGTTACAAGAAATCGCTGACCCTTTTTTACTTTTACTTGACAATTACTAATAAAAATAGGGTCACTTCAAAGCACAAAAATCGTGCACATAAATAAAAGAATACGAAAATAAATTTTCAGGTCATGGAACATCATAAATCAGGATGTTTTCAATTGTTGTTGACAAGATCGAATTGCGTTTTATCTTGCTATGGCTGTTTGGTAGAAACAAGTTCAGGCATTTGTCAAAAGTTGGTATGTTTTATGTCATAACACTATATGGTAAGGAAGTGTTGTCCCTCTTCTGTCCTGACTGCTCATATTTGACCTCTGCACAGCTATTTAGCAACAGTAGCCTGACGCCCGGTTTCTGAAAATCTAAAATCTATTTGACAGCTGATTAGTTGACTTCTACGATGTTCAGTGTTTCAGAAACCGGGCCTTAATGTCGCACCCTTATTTATATTTCATCCAATTTTAAAATATTTCCCTCCCTTACTAATAATCATATTTCATCCTATTGCTTGTCTCGTCTTCAAAATTTGCCTAGTAATACAAAACTAAAGAAAAGGTCTTTAACATACTTACTGTCAATAATGATCCATCTCAAGCAAATGACCTCACAATGAATTTAAGCAAACGATCGTTCAATATGAAATAAATTTATTTCCTCTTCATAAAACAAACAGTGAAACCAAATAAACGATCTAAACAAGATCTACAAGAGACGATAAAGAATAAAGCGTAACGCACGTCGAAAAGAATTGTCAACGTTTGAGGCCTTTTTGGCCGCCTTACACACTTTCAGTGTGATTAGATTTTTTTTAATTTTCTAACTTTGTTTAAATCACTTAAGGCGTTTGCGAGTAATGCTTCTCCGTCATTTCGTCTTATTTGTACGTAACAATTGACCAACTTTCGTAATAAAATGCCAGTAAATTCAACATTCGACTTGGCAAGCTTTATTTTATCGTTTCATGGCTCGTCATAAATTATGGTGAATAAAATAAACTTTCCAGAGTTGCCTATACAATTTTATAGGTTCGTAGATCATCTAGTAGATTTTCAAACTTAGCTGACAACAGCAGTGTTAAACTGGTAATGATGGACTAGACAAAGAGTGTTGTAAGATGAAAGTTATGATGCTGTTCATTACTTAGTTGAGATGATAATTTACATCACTTCATTTACTTTATTACGATCTATATTAAAAATAAATCAAATAAATAAAAGTAATAAGACATATTACAAGAACCTATTAAAGACTACATCTCCTTTGACAATAACATAAAAGATACTTAACATGTTTTACAAAAATACATGTGTTTTAATATAATTGCAGAGGCAAACTAGGTATTTAAATATCATTGTAGTCCATTATTCCTAAGCTAAGCTAACGATCCCACCTCGCCCATTATGGAGTGACCAAAATAATGATTGACGCAAGCATATTGGTTTCATCCAAAATAACACCTATTTGATAAATGATTCATCACCTCACGTGGGTCACATCATCGTCATCAAATTCAAATTTAAATATCTTTATTCAATATAGAAGCATTACACTTATTGATTGACAAAATAATACTATCAGTTCGGGAAGAAAGCCGGTTAATGAAACTAAGTTGGATGTATAGAAATTGTTATATATTTATTATAATATATGTGAAAGTTTAAAAAACATTAATGTGAAAGTTTAAAAAAAGAAAATTTCAGAACTTGGATAAACTATAAATAGACTTAGGATCAAAGTAGTTTATATTCTGGATTAATAAGACATTGCTTACGGTACTCCGTGATAAGAGCTAAAATAATTTTAACCACGCGGACTATGACATGGCTAAAAGCAAGTGGTGTATAAATCAGCCCCCATTAAATCAAAACTCGTTCAATGGCGGAGAATGACGACAAATTACAGTTTATTGCCCTCGAGGACCTAATAGTCCGATTATTCGCTATCACGTTAAACCCACTTCCCCGGGGGGACATTTTAAGAACGAGTGTAATGAGGACCCTTTTTATCAGTATCGCACATGAAGATATTATTACTGTGCCTCCTTTCGGAGAATTAGTTCTTCAACTTATAAAAATTATCATCCCTAACGATGCTAATAATTGTTTTATTTATTACGGTTCATCGAATGAAAAAAAGAAACAAGAAATCCTCGAAAGGGTTGGTAAATAGAATTCACTCTTTGTCATGTTTGAATTGTTTAAGTCATTCTAGACTAATACTAGTTTCTTAACAAAAACAAATTTGAGAAACTACTAAAAGATCGGACAAACAATTATCACTTGACGACGACTTGACACTTATTGACAATCAATTAATTTAGTTCCGAACTTCGAGCTAATTTTATCAACTTGCAACAATTAACAGGGTTGAGAGAATAACGTGACTTTTGAATCACTTAAACGATTAATATTTTAGAACCAATAATTATCGTATTATCTAAATGACTGATAGTTTTGTTGTTATTTCATGTTATTCAATGAGACCTCTTAACTTTAGAATTATTCTAGAATCATCATTTACTCACTGTTTTACGTGTATACATTTTTTCCCAAAAATATGCAGTTATTCTTTTTTCATAAAAAATAATAATCAAGCTTACAACATACAATTAAATTATGTTTTCGTCCCTTCATTCGTTGCGACTTGTAATTTGGTTTGTGTGAAAATAAATTGTTGACAAATGATGAGCTGCTACAGGTTGTTAAGCGCCTGAGTTCCTTAAATCGTCTCTATGGTCTAGGGTACTTCTAGTTGACATAGAATTGTCAATTTTGGTTAAAAGCAAGGTTGAAGCAAGCAATCTTCCCTTTTTCTCTTTTGTAAAGAGAAAATTCCAAAAAATGAAAAAAATTTAAAATCAAAGTTAACTTTGGTACTAACAAGTTTTTGCGAAAATCTAAATTTGGCCATATCTTTTTTATCTCTGAACCTTAATTTTATACACCTAATAGGGGCTATATAGACCCGTTCCTGAGAAAATTGGTGGTAACACACGGACAGACAGACGGACACGAGAGTAATCTTATAAAGGTTCCTTTTTTACCTTTTGAGGTATAGAGACGTAAAAATGATCTTAGAAAAAACTATCGGTGTGTCTCGCTCCTTAGAATCTAATCGCGTGAATACATCACAATCTGTGAAAGAAAAACTATTAAGAGAAATGTATACACCGACGACACAACGTTGAAAATTTAGACGTCACGGCGAAGACAGTGGAGAGCGCTACGCACGATGTTTTAGTTCAATGAGATTTGCGATGAAGGAATCCGTTGTTAAACTAGGGTAACGGATATATGATATAATTCCTATTATACACACAAAAAAGTTTCTTTCAAATATAGCGCACAAAGTAACAACGACCTGTAGTAATTGACTTTCTTCGTGAAAATACCGTTTAAAATAATTTTTTTCTCCAAAACTAAGCGACCGCCGAATTCTGCTTGTTGATTATTTCATTAATGATTTTTCTTTACCGTATAACATTTTTAACCCATGGAACCTAATGGAAAATTTTACTTTATTTCGACAGAATTCAGTTAATGTGCTCTGGCAAGCATCCCCTGGTGGATGTATTGACGTTCTACACGTGACTGCTGTTAGCAACTCTATGCACATAGCCGATTTGCGGATTAAGTGACGTGCCTAGGAATGACGATGTCTCGGCGTGATGTATTCTATATCGATGTTACCGACAAGTTTATATCGTGAGCATTTGTTTAGTGTTGCATTTATAACTGTGGCTCATTTACTGAATGAAATGATTAAGTATATAAAAGTTAGGTGGTTTGCATTTGAATTAAACTTGACTTACAATTATATTCTAGCTATATCCAAGTACTATTCGACATCAATAATAATTCATGACACACATTATTACTATTATTGAACGTACACAAACAATAAAGTAATTACTATTTATGTAAATTACATTAAAATGGGTTTTATTTAACAGTAAGCACAATACGCATTAAGAGAAAATTATTTTTAAAAAAATACTTGTATAAAACTATTTGTTTATTCGAAAAGCGGAAAATTATCGATCAAATTGATTAAGTTTCTCTTAACTTATTATTTAAACCTGTTTAATATCAGTAAACATGTATAGCAAAGTACTGAAAACTATTTAAATGAAAAAAATATTAAAATATTTGTTAATTTATATAAACATTAAAAAAAATTGAAGTTACATAAAATAACAAAAAGAACACCAATATTCAAAATGGAGCGTTAAATAATATAACACCTTATTGGAAACTTATTAAAAAAGATTTGTTTTAGCTATTCTAAAATTCAAACTTTGATAGACAGTCACTTGTAATAAAAATGGATATTTAATAATTATCATCAAAAAATGAAAAGTTCACAGAAATAACATACTTTAAATTCCATACAAAAAATTTCATAATATGGACGTTTACCTTGTTTTATCATTGTAATAGGAAAATAGACAGCATACCAAAATGGATGAAAGCGACGGCTATGGTTTGTATCATTTCCAAGGAATTCTTGGCGTTACTAAAATACTAATATTTATCGGATTTTGTGATATTTTTGGAGTAGAACTATAATTTTATCTTTTCCTTACTAATATTAATTAGTTTTGATTAACTTTTTAATCTCTACGTTTCTAAAATTTCTCAGCTTAAGTTGTCACGGGAAAAACGAGACAAAAACGTCGGTAAATCACACAAACAAACGCGATAAAACCCTTGAATTGTTAAAGTAAATAAACATTGCGTATACTATAACAAATATTTAAATAATGAATATAATTCAGAGCGCGACGAACTAGACGACATCATCGACTCGAGCGGTACGGACACAACGCTATCGACAACCGCCTCTAGCATCGCTTCTAGCATGTTCGACAGGAACCACTTCGTTCTCGAACTCCACGAATTGCACAACGACGCGCCTGGACTGGACCGGCACACGGATACGAAGGTTAGGAAGCAAAAGAAAAAGCTGAAGGGGCCACCCATCATCAAGAGGACCGAGAGCAGCGATTCCAGTGACATCGAAGACGCGTCACTTTCACAATCTTTCAATGACGACTCGACAAAGGATCAGTACTTTGACGCGCACGAGAGCTACTACGGTCTAACCGGTACGTTAATGACTTACTCGATATTACCGATACCGGTATCAATATTTTCAATTTGGAGACAATTTTGTGTACGGTTTTGTGTTTCATAAAATTCAAAAATTTGTCTGGTGGGGTGACTGAATACAAGGGACATTGTCTCAATAGTAATAACCTACCTACCTAAGCCTAAGCTGCTGATTAATATTAATATAAATAATGCAATACTTTTATGGATGACTCGGTGGCGCGGTTACTAAGTTAAGGCTTCGGCATCGAGGGTCTTGGGTTCGACCCACACACGGAACATAATACTTGTTCCAGATCTGGATGTTTATTTCCCTAGGTGGTATAGCGTCAGGCAGGCGGCTGGTCATAAAAAACATAGCTAAAGCCGCGTACAACATGATTCACGTGTAGTGCCAACCCCACCTAGGTGGGATAAGGAAGATGATAATGAATTCAATAATTTGTCAATATCTTCTTTGTCAACTTTATCCAAATCTGCACATTGGAAATTTTTGTTTTACTTTGTCATTTCAAGTTATTAATATTCTTTCTTATTTCTAGATTAATATTGTCTTATTTCTAGAAAGCGAGGTAACTGGTATGGATGACAATGACCTTGAATCCCGAGAGGATCTTGAGCTACCTCAGGAACAGAAGACAGTTGTGGAGCATTCGGTAGAACAAATTAGCAACCCACCGCCGTCAAATGAAATCAGGGTAATAAACACTCCTTACATAATAATACTTTTTTTAAAAGGGGAAAAGTGGAAAAGGAAGCAGACGGTTCACCTGATGTTAAATGAATACCGCCGCCCATGGACATCAGCTACACCCGACGGTTGCAGATGTGTTGACAACCTTTTGAAAATTCTGCTCCAGCCACCTCTCACCAGATGAAACGCAAAAGTTTTATACTTTCACTTTACGCCGGACTTCTGTGAGGTCGTGGTACTTACCCGGACGAGCCTGCCCATTCGTGTAACAGCCGAGGCTTCTGCGTGGCCCTACCACCGTGAAAATAAAAAAAATAATATTCATAAAATATGTGAATACAAAATAAAATACACTACCCTATACTCGTTAAACCTACGAGCAGAGCATAGCAATTATGAGAGTGAGAGGGCGGGATGTAGGGAGTGTTCATTTAGTTTTTTTAAAAGGGTTTGCGCAATAATGGAGACTAATAAGATTAATTTTATTTTCATTTTTTCAGAAATTGGTGAAGCGTCCTGAGTAAATAAATAGTAAGAACATATTCGAAGAAAATAATTAAATACCAATACACCAATCATGCCACTGTTACTAAGACTACAATAATCTGTCACTGCAACTCTTATAAATATAACAATAAATAGTCCTGAAATTTCTGTTTTTATTTTGCACTATAAGTCGAGGACCTACGAAACTGTCTAACGTCTTAGACGTACTGAACTTAGGAATACAATTTTTTAATATAAATGAATTCATACGAAATAGACTGCTGTCACGTGATACTCAGGCGATTTTTTTATTGAACGTGGCAAATGAGCTAACTGTTCAACTCATGTTAAATGATTGCCGCCGCCCATGGACATTTGCAACACACATAGGGTTGTAGATGCGTTGCCACCTTATAATAAAGTGGGCCCTGGCCACCTCTCACCAGACAAAACTCAGAACTATAACGCTTCTAGTTTACGCCGGTCATCTGTGAGGTCGTGATTCTTGCTCCGACAGCCATACCCAGTCGTACAACATTGAAGACTGTTACATATACAGTAATGCTAATAGATATGTTACAGCAAAGACCCTGGTTCAATATCAATTACCTACAGAAGAGGTTACGGTATAATCAATTTGAAATTCTGAAGTTACACAACATAATCAAGATTCACTTCTTCAGTGTAAAAAAAAACCGGTCTGTAAAAAGATTTCCTTTCAAACTTGAAGAGGATTCGGAAATTGCAGAATAGCATCATAACTCAAACAGAACTTCCTGAACCTATTCCTGCAGTTTCGTCGTAAATATATTTTCACCTCTGAATCATCAATTTACTACGCAAGATGCTTATAATAATTTTGGTTTAGATATTAAAACATGTAGAAAAAGTACGAAAAGATTGTTGCCGCTGTGGGAATCGAACCCACGTCTTTGGCATTCGCGGCCTGACGTTCTAGCCACTGAGTTAAACGGCTGATAGCCACAGCGACGAAAATCTTAACGCCTTTCTACATTGTTATTTAGCATTTGAAGCAATACTTGGTGCATCTATTGTTATATGCTTTCCAACATACAAACAATTTCGAATATCGTTTTACAACGATAATTCGAACGAGAGATGTCGCCATTGCTTTTTATAAATTTTAAAGTTTTTTATAGTGCTAATCTCTGCACTTAAGATTGAACATTAAAACATGTAGATAAAGTACGAAAAGATTGTCGCCGCTGTGGGTATCGAACTCACGTCTTCGGCATTCGCGGCCTGACGCTCTAGCCACTGAGCTAAACAGCTGATAGCCACAGCGACGAAAATCTTAACGCCTCCTTTCTTGTATCTTGTATTAACTGATGTTTTTGCTTTCAGTCCCGAGACTATTAAAGCTTCATCGGACGCAGAACCGGTGGGCTAGCCAGAACCCACGGGTTGGGACCCTCCGCTATGGGTAGGGTCGCGCATGTGCTCATGCGTGCGTTTAACTATGGTGTGTCATCTAAGGGCCGTCGAGGTCGCGGTTCGGACCGAGACCCCGATGGCCGTCGACTGTGCATTTAGCTAATCCGTGGCTGGGAGCGGTGAGAACCGCCCCGGAACGCGGGTGTACCTTGTGTACGCGTTGTGTGGGTCTCGCCGAGCTCGAAGGCGAGGGCGAACTGGTGTGATTGTTGTTACACTAAATGTGGGTGTAGTGTTATCCGGCGGGACCCCCGGCGGTGGGTCCATCGTATCTAAGTCCTCTTCGTCGATCGGGTCGATGAGGACGTTTCGCGGGCGACGCTTGTTTACGTTCGCGTTAGTGTCCGGTTGGTAATTTGCTGCGCTTACCACCAGAGGGTTGGGATGATGCTGGGCTCTATCGAAGAACCGTTTTGTCAAATCTTTAAAATATGCGCGAATCGTCGGGAGTCTGCAATCGCTGTGCAGGTCGACGTTGCGCTGATACCATTGCGCACCGGTTGCGCGGCGGATAAACATACTTTGGACTACTTGCAATTTGTTAATGCGCGTAGGGTTTATATGTGCGAAGATCGTGCATGCGTAGGACATGATTGGCCTTACGCAAGCTTTATATAGCAGTAATTTGTGCCTTAGGGGCATTTTACTTCTATTATTCGTTAAATTGTGTAGCCGGCCGGAGACGAACGCGGCTTTATTACGGACTTAATTAATGTGCGTAGTGAAAGTCATACGCGAGTCGCAAGTGACTCCTAAATATTTAACTGTTTTCTCCCAGGGGAGCGTTTGGCCATAAAGTGATATTTGCCCCAACTTTCTGTGCTGGCGAGGACTTTTGTAACGGTGTGGCGCATGGGGTTTGGGGGTGCTACGCGTGAAGTGAATCGCCACACTTTTTTCTGGATTTATATCTATTCTCCACATGCGGAACCAATCGCCGAGACGGTCGGCGATGCTTTGGAGTCGAGTTGTTAATTGACTGAGGTTGCGGCCTGAGTAAAAGAGCGCTGTGTCATCCGCGAAAAGCGAGAGATTGACGTGGGGGTCTCTAGGTATGTCGCTCGTGTAGAGCGTAAAGAGCAAAGGTGAGAGGCAGGAACCTTGTGGTACGCCGGCCGTGAGGCGGCGGCTTGTGGAGAGGGTGCCCTCGACTCGATATCGAAAAGAGTGATTCAACAAGAAGGACCGGATGCCTTCTTTCTACATTGTTATTTATCATTTGAAGCAATGCTTGGTGCATCTATTGTTATATGCTTCAATGTGTTACCTAGTACCCACAGAACAAGCTTTAACTATATTATAAGGATCACACAATTTTTGTTCTGTTTGAAATACAGGCACGGCGCGCTATGGCTTTTGGCTAGATGACCATCTAACTATTGAGTAGACTAGATAAATAATAAAATAAATAAATTAACAGAACATTCCTTTCCTTAGTTGCCATTTTACTAACAAAAACTCATAAACTTCGATTAAAATTATATTGGCAATGAAGTATGATATATAATCTGCAGTCATACGAGATTACGTCATTATTGAAACGGCGATGATACTGTCGTTTTGTGTGGTTTTATGATTATTTTCTTGATGTGACAGTGCCATGAATAGATTAAATTCAATGCCTCTTATTTTACGTATGGAATAGAAATATTATTCATGCGGAAATCTCGGAAATTTCGAGATTTTCCGAACCAATAGTCTTGGTAAGTTTTTTGAATAATAAATACTGCTCTAATCTAATTATGGCATTTCAATATTCACCTCTGATGTATACATACATAGATTACATTATGGATTAGACATTTTGTAAACAAAGTAATAACAAAATTTCTACTATTAAAGATATCTAAAATTATAAACTGATTATGTCACGTCAAAACAATTAAGTTGATTTTCCTCATTGAAATTGAACTAAGTAATCTTTAATTTACTTTAAATAAAGGCAATTATTTACAATAGGGGCACGCACGGTTTACAAATGTTTTTAATCGATAGTGAAAAATTATCGAAACAATAATTACTAATTAACTAATAGGAGACCCTTAGATTTTGAGAAAAATAATAATAAAACTTCGTTTTAAGTGACGTCGGTCGGCTTCTCGGGACTCCATAATATAAAAATGTATCAATTTAAATTATGAATAATAATGTTAGTGTAAGTAACTGTATTCTCCAATATTTTAAAAACTTGAGTTCCCTCTTAAAATTACTGACGAAAACGAATCTTGTACACATTACGATAATGGCGGATTTACGTAGTATTAAATTGCAAAATATAGTTATTTTTTTCTCATAATATAAATGTCAACCTATTTGTTACTCAATTACAATAGTTTCGGTAATGTATATAGTTTATAGATAGTTTCTCTATCGAATAAATATATTGGTAAGCAAAAACGCGCTTGCCCCTACTGTAAAGAATTACCAAAAAACATAAAGTTAAAGCGACTTCATAGTTTTTAAATAAATGAAAAAAATTGTTAAGCTAAAATTGCATAAAACAATGCCGGTAAGCAACTTAACATAGAGTCTAGCAGAACTTAAGTTATTATGACTTACATAGTAAAGTCACTTCATTAGATATTGTTTTAATATCTAATGAAGTTTATCTAAGCAGCGTTCGGGAAAGTTCGGCACATATTCTCGTCGAATATACCTCAATGTTTGAAGACTAAAGTCTTCAATCAATGTGTGTTGCCAGTGATGACCTACGGAACCGAGACGTGGTCCTTCACTGCTGGCCGTATGAGGAAGCTCAAAGTCGCTCAGCGAGCTATGGAGCGGGCTGTGCTCGGTATTTCTCTGCGTGATAGAGTTCGTAACGAAGACATCCGCAGTAGAACTAAGATAACCGACATAGCTCAGAGGATTAGCAAGCTGAATTGGCGATGGGCCGGCCATATAGCTCGTAGAACCGATAACCGTTGGGGAAGAAAGGTTCTCGAGTGGCAGCCTCGTACTGGCCATCGCAGTGTAGGACGACCCCCCACTAAATGGAGTGACGACCTGTGCAAATGTGCGGGAAGTCGATGGATGCAGGTGGCTCAGGATCGTGCTTCATGGCAGTCTGTGGGGGAGGCCTATGTTCAGCAGTGGACTCAAACAGGCTGAAATGATGATGATACTTCGTTTTTTCCGCAAAGTCAGTAACTGCATAGGTACGACTTCTCATAAATTGTCGCTCTATTTTTACCTACGTTCGTTCAAATTTTATTACGAGTGTGTATATTTATGTCAGAAAAACTAAAGTTTTCGTCTTATAAACAACAAACCAAAAACAAAATCAATATAAAATATTGCGTCTATCAAAACATTACTTCAAGCCCATCGCACGTGTTTTTGAATAGCTAGCCTCTCTCCACCAGACTTGATGAACTCGGAACAGAATAAATAGATTATTATCCGCTTTCTATTATCTGTGATAAAACAAGATTTGGCATTTAATGCCATCTTTATTCGAATTAACGCTTGCAGAAAAACAATTTTTGTCACCCCGCAAGAACTTCCAAATATTTTTGACATGCGTTAATTACACTTTACTAACCGCTATTTACACCTATATAAAAAGTATAATAAAAAGTAACAGCTAAAAATCTCACTGAGGTATAATACTTAGAGGAATATCTGACCGTATCATTACAAAAACAAGTCATAAAAGTCAAAGTAATGATATTAAACGATTGCCACAAACTTACACTGAAACAATTCGTGCGCATTTTTACGTTACTTGCCAAGTGAAAGCAGTACCTATTCATAAGATTGGTTTCGGTATTTATTGGCAACATTAGTCTGTCGTTGTGACTGCGAATAAGTTTTGTTTGTTTTTCTGTTATTAATCTGTTTGCGAGTAATAATTGAAGCTGGAACGGTCCTGAAAGTATTTAAGCATCTATAAATGATATTGGAAGGAACTAGAACATATTTTGACCCAAGGTTGTGTGTGTTTTATCTTGTTATTTTATTCTGAGGCTTATGTTTTAGTCTGAACGCAAGATAAATATTATTAGACTTAATATATTTGTCATATTATGCTAATTACCACAATATAAATCTCACTAATAATGTTTTTAAATTACATATTTTTTACAGTTATGGATAAAGCATCGAAATATAAATCCAAAAACAAAAAATCTACGGTCAAACCAAAGACTGCTAAGAAACGAAAAAACGAAGGTTATTAGTAAACATACTTATTGTGGAAACAGTTGGCTGGCAAAAATCTAACGATAGCTTTTCCGTCACAGGACCAACGTGTTCTATGTTTCTGGCAGAAATCTCTAAAAGACTAGCCTCGAAGAAGAAACGTCAGGAGGAATCCTCTACGAACATAGTACGTAAGTAGAACCAGTTACATATTTTTTACAATTTAAAGACAAAGCTTCCAGAGTGGGTAGCTTTCATAATACATGGACTTATCCTTTTCAGAGACCATAATAGAAAGTATTACGAATTCGCTTCCAATAAAATTTTTAAAAAAACGTTTTGAAGTCGTGGAGCAGCCAGTAACATTAGAAAACCTGAAAAAATATGCACCGGAGCTTACGCCTAACGATAAAATTGATATACCATACGTGGAAATCAAAACCCCTGGTGATAACGTGGCCGATGTTAAACGGCTAACGGATTTGGAGGAAACCACACGTAAACCGTTCTATAAAGTGCCTAAAATGCCAGTTGTTAATAGTGAAGTGCTGAAAGTCGCCGCTGATAGAAGCAAAAGAATAGTTAAGGAAGATGCTGGTGTTAATACAGGACAAAGCAATGATCTTGCAGTGGAGTTGGCTAAGCATGTTAACACTTTAAAGAAAATATCTCTCATTGCGGAGGAATTTAATAAGAAAACTGGTAAGTGCAAGTAGTTATAATCGACAAATAGTAGAGGAAATACTTCCACCGATTTGAGTATTTTGATTCCAAAAAACCTTAACCAAAACTAAGGTTTTTAAATAATCTCTCCAGAAAAAAGTAAGCTTTATACATAGGACTTTATTCATCTTGATACAACTTTACTACGTATATATGACTTTATACATCCCTATATAACTTTATACATCCATGTATAAAGTTGTATAAAGTCATATTATACTCAATTCAACATGTATTTAAAATGTTGGTGATCTTATTATCTGATGGACGTATTGCGAGTCAACAAGGGTGGCACTGGACATCAATGTAGGCATCAACCCTAAGGTGATCAAGGCTTGTCGTCCACTTTCATTAATATTGTTTATTAATTCTTAATTCCCACAGTGCTAGACTAGAATTGTATATCAAGACACGTCAAAAAACTAGGAAACCTAGTAATTCGCAATTAAAAATACACATCTTATATCAAATTTATTAAGGTGTCTGTCCTACTTGAAAAAAAGAAACATTTTTACTTCAAAAAATTTATTAATCACAACTAACTTTAAACAATATGACACAAACAAACTAGTTACAAGTAAATCACTGCGAGTAACATGAATGAAATTTCGAAGATAGTAATTAACGCATCTACTGTAATATAATTTCATATTTGATACAACCTTAATAATATATTCAATTTTCCCCAATTATCCAACTCGGGCTCTCAGACGTAACGAATACCGTGGGAATATACACTTGTCTAAATTGTTAAGAGGACTTGCAATAACATGTTTACTAATAAAGCTTGACGATCATTCAGCGTTATGAGTTACGTTATATATAAACTTTTAATTATCTCCGGCCAGCATTTTGGTTTGTCTTTGATCTTACATAAAATAAATGAAGTATTACCGATAATGATATGTTAAAATGAAATTTGTTATCCAAGAATTTATCCAAGTTGATCAAAAGTTATAACTCTCGTTTAACTTACAGAGTAAATTACAAATCAAATAGATTACTTGCCTTAAACAATGCTTCAAGTATAGTAACGAAGTTTGTCTGTTACAGCCAAAAACTTAAAGGAAATAGTTGATAGTGTTCAAGAAGAATTGCTTAAGAAACTAGAAGCAATACAAGCAGAAGAAGCTTTAAACGATAACAAAAATATAGAATCATCCCAGAAGCCATAAGAACAAATAATGAAAAGAGATTAACTAAGACATTTAAGAAATTAAAAAGTTTTTCCCGTCAATGTCAAGATATGCCAAATTTTGGACGTCAATGATAAAATGTAGAATCTAGCATAAATTGATTGTCTTATATTAAAATATCTAAAAAATAATTATAGATGTTTCTTTTATGTGCATTAATTAACAACTTGCAGCAAAAAAAATTGTGTAGTGGTGATATAATGTAGTGTTATTCAATGCTTCTGGGTAAATTAGCTACTTGTAACAGAGTTCATTCGTCTAGTTTCTTGCACGAGTAAAAAAAAAGACAAGAGATATAAAACTACTTATAAAACATTTAAGACTCGGTACGATTCCTCGAAACCAAAAATATTGTCTCCTTCTTCAAGTGAGTTTATTTATTCCATTGATCATAATCATTTCAAAAATAAGAAACTATAACTAGCTTTGCAATGATTTTAGCTCTTTGCAATTGTTATGAAATGAACTCAATTGAAAAATCAAAATTTTGTATAGCTAAAAGTTACATGTTCTCATTTGGGGCAATTAAAATTTAACAGGAATAAAGCAACAGGTAATAAAATACAACTTTTTATATATTTTGCACGGCGAATATAAAATATTTTGTGTTTATTTTACATATTACTTTTCGAAGTATAGAATTCGCAACTTCCCCCTAAACCAAGAGTTTCGATGACGAAATATTATTTTGATACTTTGATTTTTAACATTTCTTCTACCTTGCCTATTTTTATTTCTAGAACTGAATTAATTCTGTAACATCTCATATTATTTCTTACAAGGCAAATCTGCTGGGTCAAGTAAATCCGCGAAAAAAGCAAGGGTGGGAATGAAAAAATGTTCAGGTAAGCAATAAAAAGATTAACGATTATAAATATTACTCTTCTAATTCCGGTGTAAAATTAATATTTTCGCTTTTAAAGCGACGGACGAATGCAAGCATAGTCAAATACCTCGGTATCTTCTTGGAACACTCAGAAAATTTTGAGAAACTAAAAAACTAACGTATGTGGATAAAATATTATCATTAAATATTTTCAAAGAATTCATCAGTCTCCATACATAGTTTTTTATTATTAAAATGTGCCAGGGCCTCACATATAAAAACTTATTTCCGCAAAACTATCTGAGTGGCCTGAGAAATCTTGATCGAAAAAAGAAAATTGATTTTCTATCTCCTCTTAAATAGTAATGAAAACATATTGTATAATAATTAAAATTTTAGGTATTGGCTCTGAAATTCAAATACAGTCCGTGCGCACTACGAAGTCAAAACAATCGTTTGACTTTGAACAATCTCGTGGATATGTTAACAGAGGCAGTGATCGACTTGATGGTAAGGGGAATAGGGAACAATAGAATATTTACAACAGTATACGAAATGTTTCTAAACCTACGTTTACTCTTTGCTTAGAGTGGCTCATGGAATCTACCAGGGAATATTTAAGGCCGCCAGAAAACTCTTTGATTTCAAGAATATCGAGCACAATCGTACCCCAAATAAGTCAAAGTAAATGTTATATTAGGAATAGTGCAGTCTTAGGTAAGTATATTTAAGCGTCTGGGCGCAAAACCAGAAGCCATTTCATGTTCATTTATCTACAAAATTAATGTGTGTTTATTTTTTAATCATTTAAAACTAATTAAATTAATTTTCTTTTGTAATTTGTAAACTAAAAATGATAAATTGAAATGAATCAAACATTTGAGAAAGACTGCTTAATCAAACTGAAGGCTGGTGGTACATATTGAACTGATATATTATTGACTGCAGAATTATTTTTAATATTAATTATATTGTAATAAACATATCAGTTAATAATATTACAATAATAATTTAACATATATCTATAATTAAATAAATTTCAAATCTGTTTTTATCTTTTCATAAGTCATTATTCTCTTCATTCTTTTCATTCGGTTTGTTCCTTTCGTCCTGTATCCGTGAGTTCGTGTTACTATTAATGTATTTCAGTTTTCGAATTTAAAAAACCTTCAGTTCTTTATCTTTATTGTCAGAATCACAACAAAGATTTTTTTTTAATTTTATTTACAAATTAACAATTATGTGTTTTAGGATGCCTTCTTCTTGATCGTTGTTATGAACTTAACAAAACAAATAAGTCTGGTGTTGCATTTACTATTGACCAAATTTATGAAAACCGTAGAGAGAAATCTAGTAAATACACTAAGGAAAACCCTAGAAGCAAAAATCTCGAAAACGGTAACATCATTTATATATGTCCCTTTACTTTCAATTAATAACCATAGATGCACAGTAATTTTGGAATTTATCAGCATTTATCGCAGAATCAACAAAAGCGCCATTTCAAAAATTAAATCACACCGAACGTGAAGCTGTATGTATTGATATGTCTAAAGAAAACATTCCACACCATACCACAACCGCAGGTCGGTTCTTTATTATTTTTTTTTTATTTTATATATATTTATTATAAATTATCTATTTTTGTTTTTACGATTGCAGATACTGATTTCCAATATTCATTACATAAGACTTACTTATATCTTCCAGATGAACAAATGAACGCTAAGACTGATAACGTGTGTCAACTAAGCGATGCAGTACCACTATCATCATACATCGAATGTCCCTCGGAAATTCTCCAAAGAATGACAAATTTGGAAGTAGCAGGTTTTAGCTTTGATTTATCTGTAAAATAGGTTCATGGTCAAAATTTTAAAATATTCCAAGTTGTATTATCTTTTAAGGTAATGAGACCCTCAGCAGCATAACGGGAACTGACGTTGAGGTCCGAGAAGATTTCTCAAGCAATTACATTATAGAGCAAGATAACTCGAGTTTGATAGAAGGCCAAAGTGAAGATTGGTTTCGTTTTGAGAACTACACTAGAGAAAACTTAGGGGACATCCGGAATGCGCGCATCGATAAAAAACCTTTACAATTTTGTTCATCACATATTAAAAATGATAAAGGTAAAACAGATGCATTTAAATAGGGTATTCACAAATTTCGTGTAAACTGATATCTTCTCTTGTTATACAAGAGAAGATATCTATCCTCATCTTGTATTTGGAAAATGGGAACCAAAGCTCCATTCCATAAGTCAGTTATGATTTCATTATTATACGACTTTGAATAAACTTTGAACACATACATAGAAAATGCGAACTGTCAAGTTCTTTTATGTTCATTATAATAATTTCAGCCTGTTTGAGTTCACTGCCGAAAATAGGATACTTAATTAAAATAAAATATATATCTGAAATTTACAATTCTAGATTTAAGCGACCCACACGATTATCGGCACCACTATTGCTGGAGGCGAGAAGTTACTAAACAAGACGGTGACAGAAGTCATAGAGACTGTAGAGGGCGTTGCAGAAATTGCCAAAAAAATAAATTTAATAAATTTCAAGGTACTTTAATGACTGAATGTTCATAAATGTTCAAAATAGATGATAAAACTCCAAATTGTTACACTCATTTCGACTATGGTTTTGACTACCATACTTATTCCTCTCGTGCTAAATTTTATTTTCTTTAGTGCGAATCCCGACTTTCCATAGATTTACAAATCTTCGTAAGATATACAAAAATTGTGTAAACAAGGTTATGGACAGGATACCTTTTAGTCTATTCTATTAAATCAGTGACAGGTCGGTAAATAGGCTTATGGGATTGAATCATATGAGTGCAACGATCACTGATCACACAAAATCATTTCTACTAGGATAAGCTTCCAATTACTGTATGTGGTAGCAAAACTAGCCCTGTGCTTTTGTCTAATATTTTATTTTAAATTAACGGATTTTTTCGCATTTGTATGCATTTAAAGTATCTTGAAGTCGGTATTGGTGTGGATTTAATTTTATGAATTATTGGATCACAAGATGCTCAACCATCTTCTCTTTAGAAGGAGTCTGGGGTTCCTTTGCCAAGATGTTTGGTCTGCTTAATCATACTGTGTGGATTGATGTATTGTGTAATTATAGAGGGTCGGCCTGTGACATAAATTTATGGTAGCGGGACTACTGTGAAATTTGCACGTAACTCAAATTATTATGTTCCGTGACGATGAGTAAAGCGTTCGAATCATTCGGAATAAAAATTAATAATCAAACCCGTAAATAAGTTTTATTTAACGATGTGTTTAGGGTTAACTTAAAAACAAGCATTACTTTAATTTAAAACCTGATCAGCTAATATAAATTTCTATTCTGTTACACAAGAACTGTGATCTTTTATTCGATTTCCTTACATTTGCGACACCGCAGGATTCAAACCCGAATGTTATTTGAAAAGTGTAGGAATGCTTTAAAATGCGCACACTACATGGCGCCTAGCATTGCAAGAAATTCAATTAAGAAATTCAGTGGGTAGAGCTACTGGGCACGTTACCCAAAATAATATGCAGGTTTGAATCCCGCAAAATCATTTTGGGTACACAGAAATTACACATTTTTATAAAACTGCTAGAACTTTCGTGCGTAGATCGGATTAAAATCAACATAATATAATTTTAAAGCATGATAGTTTTTCCCGTGTATGTTGTAAAATATCCGAAACGTCGTAGGAAGCTCAAACAAAATTAAAAGCGATAAAATCGGTTTAGTATTTTTATAAAAGTACTTAAGTAACGTAAGTTTTAATTCTAGATGCGTTTTAAATTTAAAATATATATATTCTCCACAGTTCCTAGACCATTTGTGCCGTTCCCAAAACGTATTTCTGTAGGGAGGATTTGTCGGCGTCGATGGAATCTAATGTGGAAGAACACACAAGAAAGATGGGCGGGCAAGGCTAAATCTCAGTCCAAAATGAAAAAGCGTACGTCTCAATTCAGTTTTTATCATTCAATTAAGCATTTAGAATCAATATTTCGTCCGGGGAAGTACCACGGCCTCACAGAAAACGATTAAGAAAAGTAACCGTAATACACCCTACCCTATATTTAAAAATTGGCAAAGAATCTACAAGCAGTATTATACAT